CAGGGGCCAGGAGGAAGATGAAATGTTGGATCCTCTCTTTTGCTTCCGACCAGGATTCTTGATTTGACTAGAGCTGCAAGGCCAACCGTGCTATGGCTGCGAGCTGAGATATGGAATAGATGTTCTGCAGTTTGAACCCGTTTGTACCCGGGGCTAGTCTGCCTGAGAAAATGCTTGTTATCATGTTCGCAGAGACTTCCCAATAATATGTCGTTTGAATCAACTCAATCCAGAAATTTCGAACACAGCAGCAGCAGCATCACATCACAACGGTTGGAAAAGGTGGTATTGTTGAAGGAATTGTGGAATCGTGTGTCTGTAGATAACAGGAAGTTAAGGAAAATAATCGCTGATCTCTAGTCCTCTGTCAGGTAGACACTTGCTCTGCCATTTAGAACTGTGGGTTAGGACTGAGCATAAAGTTCTTTAACTAGCCCTTGGGCCCACACTAACCCGTGTCCACCAGGCTTTCATAAACCTACCAAAGGCCTGTTTACACCTGCATGGAGACAGATACATTCACAGCAAACTTAAATTGGAGACAAATTTTAATAAGTTATATTATAGTTTTCCTTTTTCTTTTTTTTTTCTTTTTTACTTTTTTTTTAGGTTTAATTATTTTGAGAGAGAGAGAGAGAGAGAGAGAGAGAGAGAGAGAGAGAACAAGCAGGGGAGGGGTAGAGAGACAGGGAGAGAGGGAATCCCAAGCAGGTTCCATGCTGTCAGCACAGAGCCCGATGCAGGGCTCAATCTCACGGACTATGAAATATGACCTGAGCCAAAGGTGGACACTTAACCAGCTAAGACACCAGATGACCCGAGGAGACAAATTTTCAATCACGATCAGTATGCACTAATATCTTTTGGATCTTTAGAATGACCTGGTCATGACGAAATGGAGAATGTATGCTGGGTTCACTTTACCATTAAGGGATGTAGAAAAAAAAAATGTGTCTTCTTGATTTCTCTGTGATTAGCCTGATGTTCTTCACCAGCCTGATTTCTTCAGGTAGCAGTGTGTGTGTGTGTGTGTGTGTGTGTGTGTGTGTGTAAGGGGTGGAGAGGCATGGTGTGGACATTTAGTCCAACCCAGCAGTCTTATCTGTCTCTTGAGGTAACTTGGTCTTAGCTTGGATTACTGACAAAAATGTTCAGTCTTTCAGAGCCCCATTTCCTCTGCCTATTAAGGGATGGACATGTAGCTCTGGGTCATGGAGACGAGGTACGGTTCTAGGACCTATGCAGTGCTGCCTGGAACTTTGCTGGTCCCTTCTGGGGAGCGGCTGATCCCAGCTGCTCCCTGGGCTGATGATTCTGTTGGCATCTGCTGCCGAAAGCCGCAGCTGGCGTACTTCATAATTTATGGTCTGTTCTTTCAGCTCATCTGGGCCCAGGAATTTCTCCTGATGACTCCTCAGCGGTACTGTGCATCCCACCTGAGGTCTGACTGCTCTTCCCTAATGGGTCCCAGCTCAGGTGTTTGGGACTGCAACTCGCAACTCCAGAACCACTTTGCCCCCACTTGGCGACTTTCAGCAAACCTTCCCACCCCTCCTGGGGCAAGTCGGAATTTTTGAGTCTGTCTATGCCATGTGGGAGCTAAGCTAAATTCCAGGCCTGTCTAAGATATACCACTTTTACTTTCATAGGACAACTTCTTAAGGGTTGAATCGTGTCCCCCAAAGCATATTTGAAGTTCTAACCCCCAGTAACTCCCCAGAATGTGATCTGGTCTGGAAATAAGGTCATGGCAGATATCACGTAGTTAAGATGAGGTCACATAGGAATAGGGAGAACCCTTGATCCGATATGACTCATGTGCTTATAAGAAGAGAAGAGACAGGGGTACAGACACAGCAGGTGAGAATATCATGTGACTACAGAGGTGGAAGGACTTCAGCCGCAAGCCCGAACTGTCAAGGGCTGCCCAAAATCACCGTGAGAGAGGAAGGATTCCCAGCAGGGTTTCAGAGCAAGTATGGCCCTACCAACACCTTGATTTCAGACTTCTAGCCTCCAGAACCGTGAGACAATCAATTCCTGTTGATTTACGCCTTCCAGTTTGCAGCACTGTGTTAGAGCAGCCCCAGGAAATATCACAACCAGCCCAGCAGAGAGATGGGATCTTTTGGGTCCTATGAGGGGACCTCCTTCCAATATCCCAAACAGAAGCAAGACAGACACTGTGGGTTCTCCTCGGTCTGACATGGCCCTGCCCCACCCCCACCCCCACCCGGACCACCTCGCAGCCCTGGAGGTCTGGGCACATCGCTGACTGCCTGGCTCCTGACAATGCAGCAGAACCCAAGTGGTCAAGCTTCCCTAGCTAGCTTCCTTTTCCTATCTGACTCAGACACCTGTTTCCTAAAGCTCTACAATTGCATCCCCCAGCCTTACTTTTTGGTATTTCTAAAAATTTATTTAATTTGTTTCAAAGAAAGTTACGAATTTAATTCTTTTATGATACATTTACCAATTAGCCCCCCAAAAACTTTGCCTTAAAAAAAATGAGTCTAAAGTTTTGTGTTAAGTTTCCCTTAAATTATTATTTTTTTTATTAGAATTTATTGTCAAGCTGGCTAACACACAGTGTATACAGCATGCTCTTGGTTTCGAGGGATTATTCCCATGATTCACTGCTTACATACAACACCCAGTGCTCATCCCAACAAGTGCCCTCCTCAATGCCAATCACCCATTTCCCCTCTCCTCCACCCACCCCCATCAATCCTCAGTTTGTTCTCTGTATTTAAGAGTCTCTTATGGGTTTGCCTCCTTCTCTGTTTGAAACTATTTTTCCCCTTCCCTTTCCCCAAGGTCTTCTGTTAAATTTCTCAAATTCCACATATGAGTGAAAACATATGATATCTGTCTTTCTCTGACTGACTTATTTCACTTAGCATAGTATCCTCCAGTTCTATCCACGTTGTTGCAAAGGGCAGGATTTCATTCTTTCTTATTGCCAAGTAGTATTCTATTGTGTATATAAACCACATCTTCTTTATCCACTCATCAGTTGGATGGACATTTAGGCTCTTTCCGTAATTTGGCTACTGTTGAAAGCGCTGCTATAAACATTGGGGTACAAGTGCTCCTTCGAAACAGCACACCTGTATCCCTTGGATAAATTCCTAGCAGTGTTATTGCTGGGTTGTAGGGTAGTTCTATTTGTAATTTTTTGAGGAACCTCCACACTGTCTTCCAGAGCAGCAGCACCAGTTTGCATTCCCACCAACAGTGCAAGAGGGTTCCCATTCCTCACGTCATTGCCAACATCTGTTGTTTCCTGAGTTGTTCATTTTAGCCACTCTGAAAGGTGTGAGGTGGTATCTCAATGTGGTTTTGATTTGTACTTCCCTGATGATGAGTGACGCTGAGTATCTCTTCGTATTTTAAAGAACCCCCGCCAATCAAGACAGAATTTTTTTTTAAATTTTTTTAACGTTTATTTATTTTGGGGACAGAGAGAGACAGAACATGAATGGGGGAGGGGCAGAGAGAGAGGGAGACACAGAATCGGAAGTAGGCTCCAGGCTCTGAGCCATCAGCCCAGAGCCCGACGCAGGATTCGAACTCACGGTCTGTGAGATCGTGACCTGAGCTGAAGTCGGATGCTTAACTGACTGAGCCACCCAGGCGCCCCAAGACAGAAATTTAAAATATACTTTTCTCCCTCCCATCCCAAATCGGGCTTTTGAGTCTCTTGCTTTGCTGCAGACTCAAATATGCCACTTGGGATGTCAGCAGCTGGCTATGGCTGTCTCATTGTCTTTACAAGTCTAAGGCTCATGCACGTGGAAGGGTCATCACATGTACCCATGATGCAAAAGCTCAGACACAAACGATACTTGAGAACAGAGCCGTCAGGTGCAGGATCCTTGCTCTGTTCACTTCCCCACGTGCAGACAACTTGTAACCATGCTCTTTCCTCTCCATGAGAAGTGAAGAGATCCTAGCCGTACGCTTTCATCCTTCAACCCACTTATTGGTCTGTGCATTTGCCTCTGGCGGCCAGAACGAGAAAGAGTCTGCCGGGCACACTGTCAGCCATGGGGTTCCTCAGGAGTCAGGGTCAGGTTCTTATAAATAGATCTTTTATCTGACCCATTTGATAGCTTCAGATGCCCAGTCTTACTATGTGCTAATGGTCATGATGGTTTTTCTGCTTACTGTATAGCCATGTCCTCTCAGGATCTCTGGAGTGAACATTACCGGTGACCTTCAGCCTTTGCTGTTCTTTCTTCCATTCCAATAGAACTGTGATATTGTTTAGGTGTCCATCCCTTTCTGACATAGCCCCTGTCCCTCAGGTGAAAAGGTTATCCCGTAACTTCCTCCTTTGATTGGTTCATGAGTGGGCATGTGACCCAAATCTGCCTATGGGGCTCAAAGAGCTTCTGCTGGAGACTTCCAGGGGCCCTTCAAAAAACCAGTCTCCTTTACACTGAAAGTGGAGGAAAAAGCATGTGACCCTGATTGAAGCTGGCAGCTATCTTGTAATTAGGAGGAAAACTGTCCTTAGGATGAAGCTTATGTTCAGCACAGCTCAGCAATGAAACACCTCTGGTCCCCCAACTGAAACCCAGTGAATCCTTAATGTCCAGTTACATGAGTCAATGACTTCCCATACTGTTTAAACTAATTTGATGGACATGTTATTGGAAGTATCCTAATAGATATAAACTATACTGGACATTTTAGAGTAGGTACAATGTGGGGGGAAAGCCACAGATCAGTTTAGCTTGTCAGTGGAACATGCATGAATAATTCCGCCTGGGTGTTCTTGAAACCATGCGGATTTGTGCCTTATATCTCTACTTCTAGATGCTTTGCCTTTTTATGCCATCTCTGGATAGCCCCGTCTCACTTAACATTTAACCTATAAATTCAACAAATGGCTGATTCCATAGTGTACTTCTGAGAAGTGGGCTTTTTTAGCTTTAAGAGTTCCAGTATTACATAGGTGAGAAAACAGGAATACTAAAAAGAAAAAGACTTGCTTAAGCCCACAAATTTCCATAATCTAAGTAATTGTCACAGACACAAATCAGTGTAGAACAATTCAACAAACGTACAAAAGGCTGAGATTTTCTTTAAAGAGCTGCATCCAGCTTCCTAGCTTTGTGTCAGTCAATATTCTTCTGTTTTGGTGATATATGAAGATTCTTACACCATCAAAAGGAGAGATCTGGGGGCGCCTGGGTGGCGCAGTCGGTTAAGCGTCCGACTTCAGCCAGGTCACGATCTCGTGGTCCGTGAGTTCGAGCCCCGCGTCACGCTCTGGGCTGATGACTCAGAGCCTGGAGCCTGTTTCCGATTCTGTGTCTCCCTCTCTCTCTGCCCCTCCCCCATTCATGCTCTGACTCTCTGTCCCAAAAATAAATAAACGTTGAAAAAAAAAATTTAAAAAAAAAAAAAGGAGAGATCTGTAGGGAGAGATTAAGTTATTAGTTTCAAAAGATTCTCATGTTTTTGAACTCTTAATAAAGCCAAGGGTACTGGGAAATGTTTGGAGTAAAGTAAGACAAATAGACATTTTCCATTGAAAGAACCCACTAAATCACACTTCTTTTTAAATAACCCTTTAAGCACTAAATTATTATTAAGGTTTTGCATTTAAATGTTCTCAATTTTTGGCTCACTTGAATCATTAGCCTGTAAGGGAGCTGAAGAAAGGAAAGAAAGATTGAAATACAATCAGTTAATTTCCCTTTGGTTGTCTTAAGAAGCTTAATTTAAGAAATAATTATCTGGAATAAAACTTGAATTATCTTTAAATTAATCTTTGTCATCCATTTTTAGTATGTTTGTTACAATTAATATTAATATAATATAAAATTAAATATTGGATTGTCTTGTCAAATAGTTTTTCAAATAAAGCCTCAAAAATATAACAGAGTGCAGCCACTCTGGAGAATAGTATAGATGTTCCTCAAGAAACTGAAAATAGAATGACTCTATGGTCCAGCAATTGCATTATTAAGTATTTACCCAAAGGATTAAAAAAATACAGATTTGATGGGGCGCCTGGGTGGCGCAGTCGGTTAAGCGTCCTACTTCAGCCAGGTCACGATCTCGCGGTCCGTGAGTTCGAGCCCCGCGTCAGGCTCTGGGCTGATGGCTCCGAGCCTGGAGCCTGTTTCCGATTCTGTGTCTCCCTCTCTCTCTGCCCCTCCCCCATTCATGCTCTGTCTCTCTCTGTCCCAAAAATAAATAAAAACGTTGAAAAAAAATACAGATTTGAAAGAATACATGTACCCCAATATTTATAGCAGCATTGTCAACAATAGCCAAACTATGGAGGGAGCCCAAATGTCCATCAATTGATGAATGGATAAAGAAGACATACACACACACACACACACACTGGAATATTCTTCAAAAAGAATGAAATCTTGGCATTTGCAATGATGTGGATGGAGCTAGAATGTATTATGCTAAGACAAGTAAGTCAATCAGACAAAGACAAATACCATATGATTTCACTCATATGTGGAATTTAAGAAACAAAACAGGTGAACATATGGGAAGGGAGGGTGAGAGAAGAGAGGGAAACAAACCACAAGAGACTCTTAATGATAGAGAACAAACTTTGGGTTGACAGAGGGAGGTGGGTGGGAGGAGGGCTAGATGGCTGATGGGTACTAAGGAGGGCACTTGTGATGAGCACTGGATGTTGTGTGTAAGTGATGAATCACTGAATTCTACTCCTGAAACCAATATTGCACTGTATGTTAACCAACTGAAATCTAAATTTAAAAAAAGGAGAAAAAAGTATACCAATCAGATAATACTTTTTCCATATGGTATTTGCTGGAATTATACAGTTATTCAAAAGGATAAACCTGGCACATTGGGGATAAATTTACCAACATGCTCCTTACTCATGTCTAGAAAGTGTAGTTTTCTGAGGTCTATGGATAATATTAAACACTTGTGCCATTTTTCCTTACTTTGCCCAAGCACTGAGGAATCTTGGCAGCCTAAACAAGAATTGGACCCTACATTTTCTCTCAAATAGGTAGAGTCAGAAACCAAGAAAAGATGATAACACTAGAACAAGGAGGAAATCCTTAAAGCCTAACAGTGGTGCCATAATTTGGGCCCATTAGCCAAGGAAGGAAGCCAGGAGCTCTGCCATCCCACATTCCTTTAGCAATTCTGCCCAGGGAGGTGTGGTCATATGGTGAGGAGGTGAGAGTAGGGGCAGGGCGTGAAGCTCCATGAATCAGAACCCTCTGGGAGAGGCAGCCTATCTCTGGCAACAAACCAGGGCTACATATCTGTAATTTCTCAGTGTAGGATTGATTCCAGCTAGGACTTGCTGGGTGGCTTGGAATCACATTCATCAGTAATTCCTTCACTTGTAACAAGAACAAGTCCATTCACTGAGAATGACAAGTTGTTCATTATGGCACTTTGGGGTTTCTAGTTAAACCTACAATGTTTGGAATAAGTAATGCTAACACAAACGTTGAAGCATTCACAACCCTAGATAAACAAATCTCTATCTTATTTATGTAAACGAACATAAAGCAACTCAGTCATCTCTACCGTATTAACGTGGATGGGAATACAAATCTAATCTAAAGATTTCCAAGAAATAAAACCAGTAAATTTAAAGTACTATAATGATTTGATTAACTTAACTGAATTAATTGGATGCTTTGACCTGTACAATGACCTCCTTTGCTTTCTTTGTTCTGAAAGCAAATACTGAGGATAATGATGCTAAGTTAGGCTTATATGATAGAGCAAACCTAATGAAATTAGTGGCTATTATCTTCCCTATGCTTAAAAGAAATCGTGCATAACACATGTTAGGTGCTTAGTCAGTAGTTGTTGAAAATTGAATGAATAGGGGCGCCTGGGTGGCGCAGTCGGTTAAGCGTCCGACTTCAGCCAGGTCACGATCTCGCGCTCCGTGAGTTCGAGCCCCGCGTCGGGCTCTGGGCTGATGGCTCGGAGCCTGGAGCCTGTTTCCGATTCTGTGTCTCCCTCTCTCTCTGCCCCTCGCCCGTTCATGCTCTGTCTCTCTCTGTCCCAAAAATAAATAAACGTTGAAAAAAAAAATTAAAAAAAAAAAAAGAAAATTGAATGAATAATCTATAGCAAAAAACAGAAAAAAACAACAAAACCAGAAATCAGTTCTCCCAGCATATTTTAATTATATTTTATAGAATATTTATTTAAAGTTGACTGTAAAATTCATTCAGTATATATGTTTGATGGAAGATGAAGGCATCTTTATTTGACTATTAAAACTTAGCCAAGAAGTCATTAAATTGATTATCTATGTACAAATAATGAGCAATATAGTTCATGATTTTAAAATACATCACAAACTTTTTTCACGAGCATATGATTCTATTAAATGCAAATAAATCACTCTCGTTAGAGTGAATTTAAAGTTGACCCAAGGATCTGGATAAAGCTCTAGTGAGACGCTGTGTAAGAAAGCACTTGGTAAAGTGCTATGAAGCTTCTTATAAAGAACAGAGTCATCAGGGGGCGCCTGGGTGGCTCAGTCAGTTAAGAAACCATGACAGCTTAGGTCATGATCTCATGGTTCATGAGTTCAAGCCCCACGTCCGGCTCTGTGCTGACAGTTGCCTCGGATTCTGTGTCTCCCTCTCTCTCTGCCCCTCCCCTGCTGTCATACTATCTCTGTCTCAAAAATAAATAAACACTTAAAAAAAAAGACAAAACAGACTCATCAGAATGGAAGATGAACTCAGGCTCTAGTTTAAGTACCAGGTCTGCTCCTTGCTGGCTGTGCACCCTTGGGAAAGTTATTTTAACCTTGTAAACTTTACTTTTCTCATGTGTAAAATGGAAAAAAAAATAATACTATCTATCTCGTGCATTTTTAGTGACTATTAAGTGAGCTAGTACACAAAAGCATTTTAGCCTAGTGGCCCTTTATAACAAGAACTCAATTAACATTGGCCATCATGATCTGCTTTTTCTTCTTCTTCATCATCATCATCATCATCATCATCATCATCATCATCAGAGGTGGGAATTCCTGACTGCTCATCCTTCAAAATGTCAAGATTGCCAAGGGTAAAAAGAAAAGGAAAGGGAAAACAAAAATAAGCAGAGATTCTACTAAATCACATTCGTATAATTTTATACCTGGTCTCTTCAGGCTTGTCTTCCTCAGATCAGTCCTCCAAGCTATCAAAGTGACCTATTCAGAACAGAAACCTGACCATGTCACTCCTCTAATATCTAACACAGTTGTTTGGTACCTAGGAGGCAGTCCAGGGCCTTTGCTGTGGTGTCTGAGGAGGGTCTCTCAGAACTAAGCACCTGTTTGCCCCTTGAGCTCCAGTTCTGATCAGGCAGACCAGATCAGATCTAGCACATCAGGGAGATCTGGCTACCTCCTGGCCAAATCCTACTCCATTGTGTCTCAGTTAAGAAAACAAACAAACAAAACTGAGCAACTCAACTCAGACTTCGTTACCTCCTGGGAAGCTATGTGCTCACCCACTTGTCAAATTGCTTTATAAGAACACTACACTGTAAGCTCTGTATGGGTAGGGTCCCGGGGCTTACTATTATACTTGGCATTTTCTAAGGGCTCCCTAACTATTTCCAAAACAATGGCAGGATGAATAAATGAGTGACTATGCATCAGATAACCAGATGCAAAGTGTATAGATGCATAGAATTTCTGGAGCCAAGTACCCTTGTAGGGTTTGAAGAGGACAAGAACATAACATTCTTTTCCCAATCAAGTTTGAAAACGATGGAAAGGTGGACACGGGAAAGTCTGGCAGGGGATAAAATGTCGTCTTCGTTTACTGATAAAGCCATTAAAGAAGGGTGTGGCTTAGGTACACAACAACAGCAGACTTCTAAAATTCCACTCCATAATTAGACTTACCCACCGGTCACCACACAGCTCCCCATTAGAGGACTTGCCTCTGCACAACGTAGAATATGAAGAGGCAGACCAGAATGTGTAATTCTTAAGGTCAGCTAGCTTCCAACTACTATGCAGAGCCAGGTTATTTCCTGAACGCACCGCTGGGAGAGTTGCTCCTTCTCCTCCGAGTCAGTGAGTCAAGTAGGAGAGAGAGGCCTACAGGGTGACAGCAGCTCACATAACTTGGACTGGGAAACGTGGGACTGGTAAACATGGGGCTCTGCTCTGTTCCTGGACAGCCTCCTGGGCAC